GTTGTCTTAGACAGACATATTTGCATGTCCTCACTAAGCATTATTACATATTAATTTAATATTAAACAAATGAAAATGGCCAATTATCCCAAAATGTTGCTGCTAATATAATCACATGCTTATCAACTTTAACTGATCAAAAATCAATTCTGAAAAAATACTTGAATTATCTATGAAATTGCAATATTGTCCCTCAGTTTGTTTCAACCCCGTCACGCCATACCATTTACCCTCCTATTAAAATAATGGATCAGTCCATGTGTGATCTGCATTGAGGGAATTACATCACAAAAGTGTCAGTTTCTTCTCTTACCTATATTTCAGATTAAGATTGACAAGCTCAACATTTCAACTATGTTGTATGAATTAATAATAGTAAATAATTGTTTATTACAAAAATAAACAATAGTTTTGCAAAATATTACAATTTTGTAATGTCCTTGATTTCCATGTGGTGCCATATCTTAGCTAAACAAGGTCTCATGCCTACTTTTTGTCAAAAACTTCAACCATGTTACATTTTTTCAAGGAAATTCCTAGTAATTATTTATATGTTGTGCCTGAGGTGGGAAAATGTAAGTAGTCCACTACCAGATGTTATAACCAAACATTTTGGTTTCATTTTTCAAAGATATAAAGACCCAAAAGGCACCCGATTCAGAGAATACCCAGAATTCTGCATACTGTAAGTACTTAATTATAATTAAGTACACAAATGATATCACCCATCTCTTCAGAGAGCTACAGGTGACCTGTGCAGCAACACATTTCAATCAATATTAGTCAATACTAAGAGCTGCTAGATTGTGCTGCTGTAATGGAATATGTAAGGAGAATAAGAACATACCATGTGGTCCAGCTGGAGTTTCATCTGCCTCCTGATCCCTGCCTCTGGCCCTCTTTCTGATACTTCATCTTTATTCCTCACATACATTTCTTCTTCTTCACTAATGTCTTCATCTCCTCCTCTTCCTCCTGCTCTGAGCCTCCTGGTCTCTTCATCTCCTCTTCTGACCCTCCTGGTCTCTTCAGCTCTCTTTTCCTTTTCCTCTTTCTGTTCGTCCTGATCACTTCTCAGATATGTCTTTTTGTTGTTGTTGAATCACTCCTATACTCTGGCCTGCAAGAGTCTACTTGTGAAAAGCACTGGTACAAATGCTTGTATAACTTTACACGTTAGGGCCATGTAGCCTAGCTAATATGTAGCATATCATAAATATAACATCAGAAAGTATTGATCAAGCGCACACATGCAGCTGTGTTTGGATCCAGTTTTTACGGTAAAGGATGTATCCTGGTTTCATTGATCTGGCCTCATGGCTGTGATGTGTAGTTTACGTGGATTTAATAGTAGGCTACCGCGTAGTTTAGCAAAGTGATCGATCTCCCAGCTAACGCTGTCTGCGTAGTATTTTGTAACGTAACGCCCCAAACAGCGCCCGTCTGTTAAACGCTATCGATTCAAACGGCAGCGTTTTATTAATATTTAGTTTCAAGCTCTCGTCCTTAGTAAAAACAAAACTAGTGGAAAGGGAAATGCTCCCAGGGGAAGCTGATCCATAGGTGCTGGGACAGCTCGCTCCCTCTCTGCAGCGGTGTGAGCCGCGGTCTGTGTGAACGCCGCTCCGCAGTTTAATGCAGGGCCGTAGCTGCGTTTTTAACGGGCCTAAAATTATATTTAAAATGATTCAATTTTAACTAATGTAATGCTTGTTTTGTTGCTTGAGAAGCTTGTGGAAATAGTGTAGGTTTGTTTTAGTACAGTTTTAGGGAAACAAAAGTTAGGGGGGGCAGCTGGGGGGGCAAGGCTCTACAGTGGGGGGGCAGCTGCCCCCCCTTGCCCCCCCGTAGATCCGCCCCTGCATGTGGGTCTTATAAGGATTCATCTTAGCTGCATATATTATTGACCGGTTTCATTTTAGTATGCAGCTCATAGAGGATGAAAATGCTCCTACACTTCCAATGTGAAATTACATTAAACACGGACCAATAGGGATTTCTCTGTAATTATCCGCCATTAAAATCAAATATTCCTACATTTAATTTGACAAAATTGGTTTGAAAAATAAAAAAATCAATTTATACATGTGATGATTTCCTGGTAGAATAAACTAATGCTATGCAGAATTAAAAAGGCTATCCATATTACAGGTAATTTTGTGACACAGAGGAAGAATACCAAACAACCAGGGTTGTTATTAGGAGTTGTCTTATTTTCAGGAAAACAATAATGAATATTCTGTCAATAAGTATGAGAGAAGGAGGCAAGGAAAAAACACATCTTAGTCACAAAAACAAGCCACGAGCTACTACACATGTCAAAGGTGGCTTGGTTCTGATAAATGATGGGGAAAATTAGTCAGGCTTATTAATATGGAGCAGTAGTCATGGTAACACAGTGGGAGGTAAATTGTGGGGGATGAGTTGCAGAGGGAATGAGCAGAATAAGTGGAATTGCAGGCCTATATAAAAGGCTTAAAACATGTTAAGTGCTACGTAAGTATTACATTTATTCTACAGAGTCTATCAGACAGAATAAGACACTGTCAGAAGAAAAGGGGTTCCTTGAAACTGAACAGCAATAATCTCTGTCTTTCTGTGTGTGGGTAGGTACTTCACATACCTCTAAAACTCTTCATCTGATCTACTTTGCACTTAGTAGGTGTTTGGACCCAAAGCTGCGTCGAATGTGCTGCAATTAGGACACGAAACACGTTCAATAATAATACACTTTTAATAAAGAAGCTAATAGCGCTCAGCGTGGCTTCAGGGCTCTGCGGTCTGAGTCGATCATATCTTTGGCAGCATGCCTTCACAGGCCACAGCTTATTGACTTGTGCTGCTGGATAGACTGTAGTTACCTCGGTGCTGGATATGATGTTAATAATAATGAAGCAAACACTAATAACTTCACTGTAGGAAAAATAGCTCAATGAATTGCTCTACCTTATAACTGCAGTGGTTGTCACAGCAGGTGTTTCTGACTCTCTAGCTTCAACTTTGGTGTGTGACACAAATATGTCATGGCAGCAGGGATCATTTTGGCAGCTTAGCCTTAAGACAAACATACTTATTACTTATTAGTTATTTCTATCCATAGTTTAGTTTCGTAAAGAATCCTAAGGCCTAAAATAACTAGTATAAATGCTTTTTATTTTTTTATTTGACAGCTATTTTTCAATCTCTAACTCTTGTTGATTCCACATAATATGTTATCCTTTTCCTTATCATTAAACCATTCCACAGAACAGGCAGAAATAGTGTTGTAGTATTGTCAACAGAAGGTGTTCTTTCGTGAGGAGAGGCATTTTTTGATTCCAGTTAAAATATAAGGAAAAAAAAGAAAATAGCTTTATCCCTGTTTGTCTTCGGTTGACACGAATAACAGAAATAACCGTAAATGTATAGCCCTGTCCAAGCTCTCAATGAGCCAGCAAACAATCTACTTACTGATGCCACTTTACCAGGTCCTATTGGTCCAGATGTTATGAATATAACTGCCCCACCATAATCACAGTGAAAGTTTTGGTACTTAATAGAGTGTTGCTTGTACCCTGACCATACTGGAGTAGAAAATGTCATTTTGTCCACGTCTGTGTACAGTTATTACAGGGGAACACACAGCAGTGTGAGTCATTAGTGCTTCTAACCATAGGTCCCATAGTGCACTGTCCATACACTAAAAAGCCTATACAGTAACACCAAAGCATACTAATTATGGCTATAAACAGAACATTAAATATAATAGATTACTTGCAAATAGCACACAAGTCATACTAGGATACAGCAGATGGAAGGCACATGTAATGAGTAGCATTATCTTGGGAGAGAAACATTAAGAAGAGGTGATTATGTAAATGAATGCATTTTAAAACGTATTCAATACTCAATCATTCTTGTTGCTGCAAAGTCCTGCAAGGACTACTGAGCAGCACATGCACTGGTCATTATTTGAACAGCTTATACATGCTGGCTCATTCTGTTAGTTTCATTGACCATTTTAGGGCAATAGGCTATGTGTGTCAAAATGTCTTATTTTGATTCCTGAAATATACCTAAAATCTAAGGGAAATGCTGGAGCGTAGTGATGCAACAATGAATGGGACATGACACAATTGAAGCTATGATGACCAAACAGTTTTTATGAAGCTCCTGTCTCTATCTAGACACAAGGCTTGGATCTAGCAGTACTATCATGGCTTTAGTCTGCTTTTCCACTGACATTGGTGGTCAACACCCTCTGAGCTCAGCTAGCTAGTTAGCTTCTACAACTCAGTGCCAGTTCAGCTGACAGCAGGCTGACAGATGAAACGTGTAACTACTAGGCCTTTTATCAGTTGGTCTATCACTGGAAAGCACATTTCTCTCTCTCACACACAGATACACATAACCCCTTTAATCCTGATTACAATGATATTATACTTCTAACCCATCCAATTATTAACATATAACTTTAACACTGGCCCAGAGCTGAGTTTAATGAGCTCTAGTTAAAACAATAAAGAATACTATTTAATTAGTGTGTTTAACTCGTTAGTTTAGTTTAGTTTATTTGTTTATAGTGTCGTGGACAGTCCCCATTGATCAACTGTCACAAACAACAGTAAATGGGGCAGCTTTAGCCAACATTGCTAATTTCCAGCTGTTGTCCCCGGCCAGATAATGGACACCCTTAAAATCACAATACATCCACAGCATTAGTTATAAAAAAAGGATGAAAGAAAAGTGGATACAGGCGAAAGGATAAACGAGAACAATAAAATGCACACTATACTATATACATATAGCAGAAACGAGGGGCAACATCCATGATCACAACATGTAACACACACACGTCGCCAACACAGACTAGTGTGTGGAGGTGTAGTTCTCAGTGAACCATGTTTTAAGCAAGCTGTACATGTGCTAAATGTATGTATGTCTTTGATTTGAGTGGGTAGAGAGAAAGTTAGCATGTCATCTAGAAGAAAAACCAGCATATGGCATCTGCCTTCACTTACTATGCAGCCAGATGAGTCTGTCTGTCGGTCAGTCACACACTTGAAGTTCTTCTTACAACCACCGTTGTCTTTGGAGCAGTCACGGACAGGCCCAAAAGACTCCAGTAGGTCTTCTACTGTCTCAAAGTAAGTAGACATCATGGCCTCTTCCCTGGAATGGAAAAAAAGTGTTATACATGTGTTATAGTGTGAATAAAGATACACTGGTACAAGTAATGACAAGGACAAAAATAATGCTTGAGCAGCCGAACATCCCTCACCACCTGGAAAGCTGTTAACCTTGCTGTTTGGTGCCATTAAGAAGCTATTAATGCTTGTATATAGTGTGACAAAATCGTTGGCTGTTGGTGGCTTTACCCTTCCTCCTACTATTAATGACTACTTGTGATGTTCCCAAGCTCATGTTTTATTTAATAAAAGGTTATGAGAGTCAGCTTTAATGGCTGGATAGTAATACATAGTATACAATAACGAACATGTACAATGACAGAGGTGTTATTGAATAGCCTACAGCAGACCATCAACTTCGCGTTCGCCCCCCACTCTTTTACAACGTCTGGTGAATAATGTGCAGTACCGGAGTCCAACAGAGAGGCAGCAGCTGCGGGACAGTAGACTGCGTAGCCTTCCCTGCCCTGAAGAAGAAGTGATCCTTCGTTAGCGTGAAAAGTCGGCTAAGCGGTATGCGCTCCGCAGTACCTGAGCGTGCTCCACTAGCGCACCCCCCCCCCCCCCCGAAAGTGTCTATTGTAGTGCCGAGAGATATGGAGTCAGAGGCGGACATGTTGTCGGGTCGCAGCCCGGGTCGACAAGAGAGAGCCAAGAGGGTACACACTATTTATAGGTAACCCATAACATGTCCGTGTGGGAACAATAACCGCAACTGTAGTTTCAAGTTGAATTATGTCCCAGTGGTTAAATAGGTGGTCACCACACAAGCCCCCCCAGAATTCAAACATGGCAAAAAAAAAAATATCCCCACGTCCGTGGAGGAAGCACCACAAGGGCCGAGGAGGGTGGGGCCGCAGGTGAGGACCGGGCCATGGAACGGGCCATGGAACGGGCCACGAAAGGGGGCCGCAGGAGAGGGCAGGGGCCCTAACGAGGGCGAGGGCACCCACAACCGGGGGCGGGCCGTCGTAAGGGGGCCGCAGTAGTTGTCGTGGAGAACCCAGCAGGAAAGAGCGCAACCCGGCCGCAGGCAGACGCACAACGGCGGCGGGCACGAAGTCCTCGGCAGGCGTCGAGGTATCCCCGGAAGAGAGGAGCAGTCCCCCCGGTAGGACGGAGCGCAACCCGGCCGCAGGCAGACGCACAACGGCGGCGGGCACGAAGTCCTCGGCAGGTGTCGAGGTATCCCCGGGAAGCAGGAGAGCAACCCGGCCGCAGGCAGACGTGCCGCGGCGGCGGGCATGAAGTCCCGGAACGCGCCACCCATGGGCCGATGGAGCATGGGCGACGTCCGGAACTGTCGAGGCGAGAGCGGGTCCAGGAGTGCGCCACCCAGGCGCCGATGAAGAACGTGAGTGGCGTCTGGATATCCCCGGAAGGCAGGAGAGGCCAGACAGGCTCCGGAGCGCGCCACCCACGGCCGATGGCAGCATGGGCGACGTCCAAAACCGTCGAGGCGAGACGGGGTCCAGGAGTGCACCACCCAGGCGTCGATGAAAACGTGAGTGGCGTCTGGAACCGCCGTGGAGGTGGTGAAAAAGGTGAGAGTGTCCACATGAGGTCAACCGGCTGGTCGAACCTCCTCTCCGGCACCAGAAAAAAAAAAAACTCAAAAGGGCTGATAGCCGTTAGCACTAGACGTCGTTAGCCCCACGTGGTTAGCCGCTAGCTGCCAGCCATGGGTAGCTGCCAGCCGTCGTTAGCCCCACGTGGTTAGCAGCCGGGACGTGCAGCCGCACGCCCCGAAGAACAAACCCATGAGGTAGCAATGGGGTTGCTGGTCGACCCAGCAGGTCGTGCATCGTCCCCCCGTTGGATAGAAAGCCGATGCGGGAACGGCGAGCAACGTCTCCAGCCTTCTGCGGAGCGCGCACCGAGCCTCAGTCCGCGTGCCGGTGGCAGCCACGGACGTCTCCAATCAAACCCCGGCATTTCGAGAAAGGAACTCGAGTTCCTTTTGCCGTGTTCGGCTCCGTCCCGGAAACTTCTCAAGACGTATCAGGGTCACCAGTGTAGTGCCGAGAGATATGGAGTCAGAGGCGGTGCAAGGAAGGTGCAAGAATAGTGATTTATTCACAAGCTGCAAAGGACATGTTGTCGGGTCGCAGCCCGGGTCGACAAGAGAGAGCCAAGAGGGTACACACTATTTATAGGTAACCCATAACATGTCCGTGTGGGAACAATAACCGCAACTGTAGTTCCAAGTTTGAATTATGTCCCAGTGGTTAAATAGGTGGTCACCACACTATTGGATAAATGTTGGCCCTCGGACACATGTAGTTGGTGATCCCTGGCCTACAGGAATGCTTTATTTTTTCCTCCGACATAGTTGTGTGACTGGCAGTACAAAGGTAAACCGTTCTAAACCTAATCCAATAGTAGTTTCAAACTGAGTGTTTTGTGCTATATCAGGCGTTTAGCCTTTTTAAATTAGCTGTTTTAAAACTTTCACCCAAATGATGAATGCAGGGGTTTGTGCTGGTTCATGGAGGGTCATGTGTGAGACTAATTGGTGCATTGGCAGTAATTGGACATGTTTGTCACGGCAGTTTGATGGAGAGCCTAGGGAATCACCACTCTGCATAAATACACTCTCAGGACCCGTCCAAGGCCAATGCATTCAGGCCCGCCCTTACTGGCAATGTAAAGGGGAGAGCAGAATAAGAACAAAGGAAAACAAATACATGCACACACACTTAAATATGGACACAGGGAACAATAAGTACATTTTCCTCAATCTCATAATTTATTTTATTTATGTATTTATTTAACTTTTTGACATAATAGGATAGCATTTGAAGTAGGTTATTCATTTGTGGAACTCCATAGAAGGTTACTTTATCCTGTATTTTATAAGATCTGAGTTTATTTATTCAAATGCCATTTATTGTTCATGTATATATAACTTAGCGTGTGTGTGTGTGTGTGTGTGTGTGTGTGTGTGTGTGTGCGTGTGTGTGTCACTGTCAGAGACACTTCCTTTGGACATAAATCATTACAAATAACAGAGGAAAGTATCATTTCCAATAGCCATGTCTTTGTGCTTTCTTCTGAGAAATGTCAGCTTGACCATGCTGTATAGCTCAGCTGCTGTGTTCCCTTCAGCATGCTGAGCCATGTCCATACACTGAGCTCTGCATGCCCGCTGTCAGCGAGAACCAAGGGGTAAGCAACCTCTGTGTTTCTCTTTGCAAAGAAACAAAAGCACTGTCTGATGCAATGGGGCCGCAGAGACTGCAGTGTGTTGTGGTGGTGACTCAACTCTACAAACAGCAACAACATCTTGAATGATGGGAGGACAGATGCCCTGCTGAGCGCTGGATTTGTTTTGTATTGTCACTGTCACTGTTCTTCTAAGTCTTTTCCTCTGTTTACTTGGGTTGCTTACGAGGCAATGGCGGGGCCTCCAAACCCAATAATACAGCCATCGATGTTGCTGTTTATTTCATTAAAATGTTAAATGAGCAAACTATTTACAAAGTGGATACAAAGTACCACAAAGTCATGTTTTGCATAGTTACGTCAATGGACAAAGATTGCAAAGTGACCTCTTATTGACTTAGCCTTTACTGTTAAATATGTTTCTGAACATAATTGTACAGTGACCTTGTCATTGGCTTTAGGCAAAGATGAAAGGCAATGTATTACAATTCATCAAAAAAGGTATGAATACTCTGTGCAGTGCATTAGTAAAAAACCTTCAGAATTTCATATCTTACTAATTTAAGCAGGGATGTGTTCCAGGTAGATGTGGGCCGACACCTCCCTCCCTTTTCAATTACAATATACTCATTGTGTTTCCCCTTGCCATCCTGTCTGCCCATGTGTGATCAGCATTTGAAATGCTGTTTAATAAATCACGGTTTTCAGCAAGGTATGCTTTATTTTTAATATTTGGATCTTATTGGCAGTGAGCATTGGAACTGTCCCCTTTGAAAAATCTAATTTGTACACCCTGCTGTGCTGATGGCACATTGCACAGTGTCACACACACTGGATAAAAATGATATGTGTACCAAAAGAGCACAGACAAGTAACGTATTTTTCCAAAATGTGTGAATATTCAACGTTGTTAATGTTAAGGAGTTTGTTTTATGTTCTTTGTTGAACAAAAGTGTATGGGAGCTCTCTGGCTAACTGTGCTTTTGTGTTTTGAATGGTAACCTAATTAAAGTAATGGTCCAATTGATTTGATCATTAATTTGAATGAAATTCACTAAACAGGAAAACATTTATTACAAAAATGATTTAGTATGTTTACCACATGAGCGAGAGTGACACTGTTTAGCATACCATTTTAAAACAAATATGAAACAGTCCTTTTGTGTAAACAATCCTATTCAACTTAAACATTAACATAATTGAAGTATTGCCTTCTGTTTGCTGCAGATAAAGCAATATGTCATGGTTCCTAATAGAAACTGGTGATGTAGTTATGGCAGACCCATTATGCATGTTAGTATTCTTGTCACCCACTAATTTCCAGCACTCACATTTTATGCACAAATGCAAACCTTCAAAGTCAGATTTCTTTCTGACAATATATTACAGTTCACTGTTTTGGTGGCCCATCCATCAACCCATTGACCCATCCATACATCCATCAACACATCCATCCTTCCATCCATCAATGATAGGTCTCTTTTCCAAACCGTGTTGCTACTGTACATTTCACCCTATATTCAAGACCACTGCTCTCTCCTCTTTGGTAGTTCTGGCACATCACCAATGGGCCTTAGACTTGGAAATATTGATGTGTCACATTGACACTCATCTGCAAACTGTCTGATGTGTGCCTCTGTATCCTCAAGGAACTGGGCAGTCTCAGGACCTCAGCTGAGCCCTGTCGAATATCGAAAACAGAATGCCTACATTCAATGCTTGACTTTATGCCACAAAAGGGAAACACACTTCCCTATTCTACATTAAAGGTGGGGTAGGTAAGTTTCAGAAACCGGCTCGAGTGCACTAACATTTGGA